CCCCCCCCCCCACGGAAAACATGTATACGTCGACGCACTTGTTCAGGCACAAACACCGGAGCGGTTAATCGGAAGCCATTGTAGCCCCCGCCGCCCTCGCCGCCCCCGCCACCACTGCCACCGCCGCTGCCGCCGCCGCCATCGCCGGCGGCACCGCCGCCGTTTTGCCCGACCCCCCCGCCACCTCTGCCCCTCCTACCCCCCGCAGTCCAGGAAGGCGCGAAGGGCGCCTGTCTCTGCCACATGACCAGCCCCTGGCCGTCGTCGCTCATCACCTCCCAAGCGGCCGTCCTGTGTTCCGGTATCACCTGAAGAAAGGGTAGGCACGATATCAGAAGCGTGTTGTTTTTCTGTCAAGGGTACATGTATCGTATCAGCCCCTTGTTTGTTCTCGAGATATCAGGAGACCCACACTCTCACATGGCAGTCGTCTTCTGCTCTCACTCTCGCTCTTTTGGTGCCATTTTAGGGACGCCATTCTGAAGGGTCCCGGGCCTCTTCTCGAGAGAGCTTGGGGGAGGGGGGGGGGGATCTAGCGGCCAGCGGTAATGCTGTTGTTACTCTGTCTGTGTCGTGAACACAAAAGACGCTGTCATCCGTATCCCGTGCAAAGCCCGGCTTGGATAGCGCGACCTCCCTTCACATCGCGGAATGCAAGAAACGGCAAGGAAACCCCCAGGCGACAACCACCTATTTGCAAAAGAGCTAGCAGGGAATTGGGGGGGGGGGGGGGGGGGGTGCAGAGAGGGACTCGTTCACGGGTACTGGGCTCGGGGGGTTGGATCACGTTTTTCAGTAGAACAGAGAACAATTCGGGAAGGACCTACTGCTGTGGAGGTGGCACATAATTTCGTCACCGCTGTAGGAGAAAGGCTGTGTTGACGGGTGAAACCATACCGTGGACGAAGCTGGCGACTCGCTGTGGGATGGCCTTTGTCGATCGGTGGCAAGGAAAGTCTGCGGGAAACGTCAGCCCGACGAAGACGCTCTTCCGGTCGCGATCCGGCCTCGCGAGCAGCGTCTTGAACGAAGAGGCCAGGTGCTTCTCGGTTCCGGCGTCGAAGAAGAAGCACTTGCATCGCTATGGTGTACGGTAGCCGACCACGAGAGAAACGCAAGGAAAGCGAGAAACAGAAATACGCGTGGGGTCTGTTGCAGGTCAATTAGCGCTATTGGAAAGAGATACTCCATGCGTGCTGCTTTTGGGTGGGCAATGAGAAACCAATAATGATGTGCTGTATGCTAATTATCAAAGATACCATTGTTGTTAAACTGTGAGACGTCGTAGTAACCAGTGCTATTTTCCTGACTAGAGACGGTGGAAGAACCTGCTAGCTGGTAACCAGAACCGGATGCATAGAAAGTAGCTGCAGTTTGTACTCCGTCGCAGGCATCAGTCTCCTGATCACTTGGTTTAGGTCGTGAACCCTGTCTTCACAACGTTCTGTCTAGAAGACTTACCGCTGGAACTCCATGCCCTATCGAGCCACGCTCGACGCGATCATGCCCCACCACTTACTTTTGGATAGAGGGGCGTGGTTGGCGGTTAACCTACTATCGCGCATGTGATAACGCCTTGTACATGCTGGTGGTGACTCGCCCGGGTACACTAATGCGACGTATGCATTCATTGGGCAAGTCGTTTATGATAAGCCTCTGTGGAAGAGCATGTACAGCAGGGTACCGGCGCTATCGATGGACAGATGTTCGGCGAAGCATTGCTTGTACGTACAATTGTACTTCTCTCCTGTGGCGCTTGTGACGGGCTTTACCTTTGCCTCGGACTGGTTGAAAGAGTGGAATGTGCAAATGCTACACGCTCTTGGTTGGAGCTGCACCAACATCGAGTATCGCACTACTTCGGCTGCTTCAGTCGTGCAAGAGCTGAACAACTAGACTCTGCTCTTTCTCTCTTTTCGTTGCATCTCGTATACGAGTCATCACCCATGTCCCATAGGCGTACGTGCATCCATGGATTCGACTGACAGACGTGCACAACACTATCCTATCTGCCGTCGTACCTGGTCTCTAGACACAGCAGTAAATAGTTCGACCAGTTGACTGACGGGCGTCACGGTCTCCAACCTCGTCCCCACTCTGCACTGATCAACGAACACAGATGCTGAACTCGTGTACTTGTAGCTCCACATGAGCCCGCTCTCTTGAAATTTGTGTACCGAGACACGGGTTGCAGTGAGAGAAAGACACACACAGAGCGAGAGAGAGAGAGAGAGAGAGAGAGAGAGAGAGAGAGAGAGAAAGCAACATCACAACACGTGCACATGTGATATGCGGCCGAATTTTTTGTAGGTCCACTATCCCGAACCGGAACCTGACCTCATGAGGTTGCGCCGCACACACGCACACAACGGTCGCTCTCTGATGAGCTCAACCCATCAGGATTTAACCGATATTTCACGACAACCTTCCCCGGGGATTCAGAGTAGGGATTAGAGTATCGACAGCCCGAAATCGACGTGGTGGATGTTCTGGGCTGGTTCTGGTGGGCGTTGGCGCAGACCAACTCCTGACAACAACGAGGCAGAGGATGCCGCAAATCGGGAGGATTGGGTAGGTTACAGATTTCAACTGTCAGCTGTTCTACAAGACTCGATAGGAGGGTGGGTTGGACGATCGACGAGGCAGAGCCCAGGATTGTGTTTATCACGTGTCAAAGGAAGCAGATACGCCATTGGACTTGGCAAGATAACCTGCTGTTTCTCTTGTCTTTTCAGGGTGTCCCCCTGCCGGCTTGGTTCGGCGTGCGTTCTCTCTGTGTGCTTCATTCAGTATATTGTAATACACAGGTCTTCGCCGGTGGCGGAGTACATGGGACAGCAGTAGGACCCATATCTATTTGTTGTTGTATTGCCAAACCGACTTCGACGGCACCCACGAAGATCATTCGAGACACGCCGTACTCCGTTCTAAAGTGTTTACTGTAGCGAAAGCCACACACGCCCCGCCCGTACTGTTCGTATCGATACATTGATGAACTCGTTGTCGCCTCAGCTCTGTAGACCTGCCGAAAGTTCACCGACCAAGTCATGTAAGCGTAGGTTTAGGCTAGGCCAACATATTTTAAAGTTGGTTTTCATCGCGAGATAGGCGGATCCCAAAAACTTTACGAACGAACGCCTCTTGCGTTCTCTTGCCTCACTGGACACAAAGCACCATCGTGGAGCGTACGCCAAAGGCGACAGTGGGAGCGGTACTACTAAGGTAGAAGGTCTGGGGTACACCTCGCCACGGCAGTATCTACAACCTGATGGAGCTGCACCCTGTGCGGACGGCTTGGCCTGGGGTTTCGACGGGGAGGGGTTCGACAACGGGAACTTTGTCACCCATGCCGACAAGAATCCTGCCAAGGTTGGCAGGAAACCACCTGCCATGAATCTACCACAAGACGACCGAGATACCGGGACCGACGTTGGTCTTGTGTCGGTGTCTACCGCGGGCACCATCAGGTACCCATTTTTTTCGCGTACTTGCATCACAGCAGCGCCAAAATGTGCACAGCGGTGCTGTCCATGGGAAATTTATCCTACTACAGAGAGCAAGACGAACTTGCTACCGTGTTTTCTATTAGTGGTTACAGTACCTGTGTACGGTAATCACTCAACAGTAACAGTTTTTACAGGTGCTGTATCTTGGCGATCGCGCATTTATGGACTCGATGTGACAAGCCACCATTAACCTATCTGCGCATCGATCAGGTGTGACGCAGTTAGCAGCAGCCCCAGTTCACCGGCATCCCTTGCGCCAAGTCTGGCGTTAGCCACTTCAAAACACGAGGGAAAAGGAGAGGGCAAGGAGAGAAAAGCACCACCGACATTCTCTAGTATTGACGAGTGGCTCAAGGAGGATCAAAAGGTACAAGTATGACCAGTAACAATGTGGGTAAAATGCCCTTCACGGCTAGGACCGCGGCACGCATATTATAGCATTTATCTGTGGGAATCTATCCAAGTCCACCGAATGATCTTGTTTGGTTTCCGAAACCAAAACCTCTCTGATATACTTCTATATGATTTTTTCTACTTCAATTTTGGTCTTGATTATGTTACCACTTACAGCAGATCCCCTTCTGAACAGCAACACAGGGCTCTACCTAACAAAGCCGTCAGTCAAAGCCGTCAGTCAAAGCCAGAGAAAAAGTGCGGAGCTCTTTACCCCACTCATTTTTGGGGAGTACTTTACCACACTTTTCAAAGCAGGCGGTTGGCAACACTGCTGCTCAGCCCAGTTTAGTCAAATGCTCAATGGTGTATTCCGTGATAATCGAGATTTCCTGTTTCCTTGAATAGTCGGATTGTGGTGTACCCACGTTGGGAGGTGTGCTAAAAGCACGTTCAAGTATTGGTCAATCCCACAAGACAAACCCTCACGGCAGTGTCTTGTCATTTTAACCAGTGAGAGTGAAAGGGTTCCTCGTCATTCAGACTGCAATCCACATGAAGATGTCACAATCACGAACTTTCGCTGTACTTCCCCAACCCCTTTGCGATGGTGTTGCAAAGGGCATGCCGCCAACCTATTGTCGCATTTTTTACCGAGCACACCGAAGACCGCAGACGAGCGGATCGATGTAGAGGATGTCGCGTTGTCCCAATGAACCGAAGGATCGTGCCCCTTGTCTACTTGGACTTCCCGATGCCCCTCTATCATCTGGTCCTACCACTTGAACGTTAACACCACCACAGCAGCCGCAGTATACTTAGCCAAGTACAACACATCCTCACCATTTCCGTGTCAACACGCCTCCTTTCGAACCTATTTCATCAAGGGTAAATCATCGACAACCAGCGAGCAGGACCATTACAACTCGACGTTGGGGTGTTACGCTGCTGGTGGTTCCGGCACTGACAATCGACGACTACAGGACGCAAACCACAACAGCGACGATAGCGGCGACTACGGCGACCAAAACCAGAACCTTCCACCACCTCTACTCCCGGGGTCGATGTCGCTCGCGCCCTACGCAGAGGACAAGAGCAGCGCGGGGGGGCTGCAAGGGCTAAGCCCCGGCCCTGGTCAAGACACCTACGCAGCAAAGTTCCGCTCCCCCTATCCGAACTCGCAGCACCCATCGACTGTGGCGGAACAATCAATTTTGTCGGCCTTCGATGCGACGTCTCCGGTTTGTGGTAGGACCTGGGGGAACGGGTCGGTCGCGTCCCCCGGCGCCGCTTCGGTTCAGACGGCGTCGTCGCTGTGCTTGAATGACGACGGAGAGGAGACTGACTCAAAGAGAATCGGTGCTTGGGGTGAGGAAGAGGAGGAGGAGGAGGAGGAGGACGTTCAAATGATAAGGGGTAAGGATGATGGAGTTCACGAGGAGACCCCGGAGGACGAGTCGGACAACATGGAAGTGGCAGAGGAAGAGGATGATGAGAAGGGCACGCCGAGAGGAGAAACATGGGGGAAAACGCATGAGGAGGCTAGGGCGGAGGAAAAGGACCCAAAGAGGAGGCGACACGAAGAGCTTAGCTTCCCCGATGGGGGAAGCAGGGGAGCTGCTGTTGCTGTTGCTGCTGCTCCTCCTGAGAAAAATAGTGTGGGAGATTCTCCCGTTTCAGGGCAAGCACGAGGGTCCGCCACGAGGTATGAGGGGAACCTGGGTGCATGCAACAAACCAACAAATGGAAGGTCCGCTGAATGCAATCCGACCGGGGGGGTGAGCAGCAAATATGTCGCCCCCCCTAAGAGTTGCAAGACCTGAACTTTATCCCTGATTGCGAATCACGCTGAAATTCTATCGGCCGCTTGATAGGATACAACATGAAATGCCCAGCAAGTTACGAATGTACGCTAGGGCATGGTCATTGCGCATACGCCAGGTTGGGCAGTCAGATCGCGAAGGCTCGAAAGGCCCCTTTCGGTTGCCGCGTGCTACCAAGACGACCATGGTACCCCTCCCCCCCCCCCCGGCCCTCTTCCAGCCGTACTAACCACAACACTCGTCAACTTCTCGCGATTAATCCTGCTTGTTTTTCTCTTGCGGCGGCATTCACTAGTCTGTTTCTTGGGTTGCCCGACTCGGAAGCGAGTGACGATGCTTGGGGAGCCGACGACACTCCTCGACTTGATGATTACTTCCGCGGGCAGGTGTGGTCAGTACTCACCACTACTTTTGGTTGCGGCTCTCGAATTGTTTTGTTTTTGTTGAGATGCCCCGGGACATAATGATCCCGTTGACAATTTTCTTCATGTGGAGGAGGGAACAACTCTTCTTGTTTCTTTCGTTAGCGAACACAGCAACCACGATATCAACAGTCCGTATTGAGCGTACTAAGACCGTCCCTCCACGTGGCCCACGACCTGCCATTGCACCCCATACCCCCGTCAGGCTACCGCACCCCCCTTGGAGGGGCAGCTTTTGCCGCCCCCTTTCGACGGGGGGATGGACGGATCTCCGCTGTTCCCGTCTCCCCCTCTCGAGGGCAGGGCGCTGTACGGACTAAGCACGTGGAGTTTTGGAAGTGGTTCGGGTGGTGGCGGCAACGGCGGCAGCGATAGCCACGAGGCTGCACCGAAGCCATCAGCGGTAAAGGAGAACATACATCTACCGCGCATATGGCGATTTAGCCATGGGGCTTAGATTGTTCTTCTCGGCGAGAATGCACAGTCGGGGATGTAGTTGGAGACAGCTGAAACTAACTCCATACGGCTGACATATGTCACACAGTAAACCAAGTCCTACCCAGCACCCTGCCGCATCATCTCTTTGCTCTCTGCCTGAGCCCGCCTCGAAAGCCGTTGCTGGGATGAACCTCGTACATGGTACTGTTCGAGAAACCGCTCGTATGACTAGTCCGTGTTTGTCGTAACCATTGCCTGCTCATTCATCGCATATTTCGTCCCGGGTGAGCCCAGGATACACAAATAATGGCCGTGGAAAGCACAGAGAGGGGTACATAGACGGCGTGCCTGCCCATTTCCTCCTTTTGCCCACTCCAACCGTGCTCCCGTTATTCCCTCGACGCCATGTGTTACGTGTGTATGCGTTGCTTGCGACAGGGGTGGAACAGTAAGGACGGCAAGCCCACTCCGGCAGAGAGCTTCTCCTACCACGGTGCTAATGGTCGTATGAAGGCCGATGACGTCGACAACAGGAGGGGAGACCAACAACAGCAGCAGCAGCAACAGCAGCAGCGAGGAAACAAAAGAGGTTCTTTCCGTATGGAAAGGCCTGGCGTCGTCAGCACCAGCACCACCAGCAGTGCTACCACCGCAACTGCTGCCCGGAGAAATTCCATTCCTCGGCGCGGAAGGTGAGGCACCAGGCTGCGCCGCCACAGACCTGTAGTCCGCGTGCTGGACACACTTGTGATTCCAAGACACGACATTTATTTTACGGTGTTTGGGTGCCACTGCATGACACTTGCGTGCTGTGTCTCTAAGACGGTGGCGCGGTGTATGTATCTGCATCCATACTTTTTACCCACACGCGATCATGACCCGTAGATCTAACATCAGGTAAACCTCGCGGTCCTACGTGTTCTTTCCTGCAAATTCCCATCCCTCTCTCCATTCCTCTTCGCCTACAAGCAGGTTCTTCGTTGGTGCAAATCAAGCTCATACCCAGAGTCGAGACCAGCCGCCTGAGCGGTCTGCAGAGATGGGCGAGGACGAAGAGAGAAGAAAGAGAAACATGAGCAATTCCACCACCACCAATGTAGTTGACGACCTTGGACCAAGCGGAAGCATCACCCATGGAGCTTCAGGGCGCCGTCGGGGAAGTTGTAACGGTGGCAGAGGTGCTGGAGGGCACCAGAAACGGCATCAGGAGTGGCTCGATAAGTTTGGAGAGGTAAGATGGTGGGGTCGGGACAATGTTCATGTTCTCCAGTCGTCACTGGTGCCTGACACATACCTCTAAGATGGGTCAAACGGTTTTGACCATGATGTATATACTCTGTGTACCCGTCAACCAGTCACTACAACCACCGTGGAAAACTGTGCAAGATAGCGATGATGCGTACAGCAGCAAACCCTTTCAACAAATAAATTTTGTTGCTGTACCTGCCATGCCCTTGCTATCTCCTCCCTGAGCTTGTCGGACTTCACCAACATGAGGACGAGACGTGAGGGCTGAGGGAGTCGGGGTGGCAAGTGTAGCGGCTGGACTCGCGCCACCCCCCCCCCTCCAAGCAACAATCAACGACCCACCTGTCTGTTTTGCCAAACGACGTTTTCTCACCTTTCTCCCCTCCCCGTACGACGCTGCAGGAAAAGCGGATGGAACGCCAAGAAGAGGAGGCTAAGGCGCAGCGTCGTGAAGCAGCCCGCCGACGCACGCGCGATCTTTTGCTCGAGAGGGCAAAGCAACGCCTCCTGGCCGTCGCCGCTGCCGCTGCCGGTGTTTCTGGCGCTGGTTCATCCGCAACCACCGGTATTGGCCGTCTACCCGTACTTTCTGACGACTCCAAAATCCATAATTTGGCCCTTGATCGGCATCTGCTACATTGCTGCTACCAGTCGCACGCCCACGTGTCACTCCACGGTTGTAGCACCCAATACCTGATGTGCACAGCGCCATGAACCACGCTTCCAACACACGTATTTTGGGGCCCCTCACACCTGCCTCCTCAATACCGAACCCCTGCCGCTTCCGCGGATGTGACCGCGCAGGCCATGACTTATCAGCAGACGAAGGTGGTGACGGCGTGAAAATCTCAACAGCGGCGAGGGAGGCATCGCACCAAGCTCGGGGCGGGGCGGGGCAAGGTGTCCCGACGCCGACGGCATCATGCGAGGGGGGGGCAGGGGTAGCGGTAGCAGCGGCGGCGGCAATGACGATGGCCGCCATGTCGGCGGGAGTTCCGCTTTATGCCCAGGAGACCTGGGCGGCCCGACACAGCAAGGTTTGCAAAGGGGATTACAGCAGTCGGGTGTGCCACCCACAAGCCCCGTCCGTACTCTTCGGCATTCGGAATAGAGCGCGAGGTGCTGAAGTGTTTTAGGCCCTAGCGGTACAGCGCGGATTGGGAGGAGCTCGCAGTTGTCGAGGGTAGCGTGCGTAAGTCCTGAGTTCAGCATTCGTCTGTTGGGCTTTGCGCGTGCGATGTTCTATGGCGACGATGATACCGGAGATCCAAACGAGGGAGCGCGAGCGTCGCCCTCCTCCACACCAATTTCTGAACAACTCCGGAGGAAGAGGCCTAAAACAGATCATCTGGGGCCGAAAAAATCTACCTGCCCGACAATGTTTCGAACCTTAAATGTGTAGCTCGACCTCAGCACTTTGCTTGCGGTTGACAGATCGGACTTGGAAAAGGATTCCACCAATGCATGAACCTAGGCACAGCTACATCACCTCGTCATAGCTACACGCCAGACGATATTTCGACGAAAATGCTTTTTCTCCCTCATTTCAACGCGAGAGCAGGTGGAGCGAAAAGGGAACAAGGACGACGTCACGCCCGAAGAAAGAAAGAAGCTCGAAAAGGTAGACACCACGATACGAGGATCGTGTCTGTCTGTGTGTATCACATCGGCCAGATACGGCTAGGACGAACTACGTAGTTTCGTACGTGCCTTGTTTCGAAAGAAAAGAAATGATGTCAACCGTGATAAACGGCAGAAGAACGAACCGGACAGAGCCCCACTTGCCGAAACGTAGCCGCCATGCCTTCGCAAAACAAACGGTGACCCACCTTTGCCAATTTGTTGACACCGGCAGCATGGAGTTAAGTCAACACTACACCAACGTCTACGACAATATCTACCGGGTTATGTGTGACCGATCAAGTTGGGTCAGCTCTCGCGCTCATATCGAGAGCTCCTTGACTTAAATAGACCACCTGTCCCGGCGGTAGCGCGCTTCTCGCCTTGAAATGATAATTAACCCAATCAAGAACAAGAGAACCCGCGGTTTTGAAAACTGTTGCAAGATTTTGTATTCACATATTGTATCACTCGTCAAAGTACCTGGTACTGTAATTTCTTTATGGCACCTCACATCTCCCGCGTGAAGTAACCACGTGTTGTTTGTGTGCGACGTCGAACTTGGGACAATGTCTGAATTGCTTTTTTCCGGTTTGATTCTCCAGGAGAGGTTCGAGCGCATCGCAGCAACTCGGCGGCGGCAAAAAGAGCACCACAAGCGCTTCCTGGCCGCTCTCAAGGCCAAAAGGGTCCAAGAAGAGGTCAGCTACCTTTCGGTATTGATACCAGAGGAAGTAGTTCCTGCTGATGGTGCATGTTGAAACGGACGTAGAGAAGCGTGTGAATAAGAACTAGGTGTTGCAGGGTATCGGCAAGAATAGTTGCTGTGTGTGTGCTTTTGTTTTTCCCGAAGTTGCTGACGCTTAAAAGCTCCACGATACAACGCGCTGTTCCAACCTTTGCTCTCAGTACCACCCCCACCACATGAACAAGCGCAAACTGCGTCTTGGAATCCGCTTGATGCGTTTGTCTTATTATTTTCCCTCATCATCCCCAGGAGGATCGGCTTCTTCACGAGCGCAAGGAAGCCGAAAAGCGGTGTAACGTAAAGATGTGGGCGGAACGAAGGCTCCAGAAGGTACGACCGTACTGGTTATGGGCCTTCAACAGATGTATACTACACTCGACCGCTGGATGACCTGGCACCGGTCGGGCGAGTAGCCCGACATTCCTCACAAGAGACCAGCTAAATAGTTAGAACAACCGCCGCAAGTAAAAAGAAAAACACTGACGCACCAAACTATCTAAAGGTGCGTTTTCAAGGGCGGCGTATCAGCATGAATTTCCTTACTGCTTGCTGCTACTGCTGCTACGGCTGCGGCTGCGCCCACCCTGCTGCTCCAACTATGTGACTGACTCGTTGCAAACCAATAAAACAATCATGTCCGGTTTTGGTGTGGGGGAAATTAGACGCAGAAAGCTGCCGGCGGTGGCGATACTGAACACCTGTCTGCGGCAGCAGTAACGACAGCACCCGGGCACAACAAGTGGGTGGGCGGCCGCGGCAGTAGCGACGGCGGAGACGGGGCCAGAGAAGGGGTAGACGGGGAGGGAGCGGCGGCGACAGCTACCGAAGGTGTCGCCGGAAGTGGGTTGAACGCGATACGAAGCGCTCACTCACGGAGGTGAGCCTTTCTCGGTGCTGGACATCGGGTAGGTTGCGCACAGCGCAGAAACAACTGACACAGGTTCGGCCACAAGGGACCGCACGAAGTGGTGAAGAGGCGGGGGGCAAGGGGGGCAAAAGGCGTTCGTTTCCGTGAGCGGTTGTCATATGATACACCCGTGTATTGTCTTCGTCGGCACGGATCATTTCACCATGTGGCAAGTTGTTTTTTTGGTGAGACCTGCTGCGCTAGCGCTGCAATCCCTATCTGCACAGATGAGAATTTTCTTGAAGCGATCGATCGGAGCACAGAGTGCCAAACGTAGTGTGGGTGGGTTGATTTCAATACTTCACAAATTTACCTCTTCACGTTCCCTCGAGGCGTACGGGGGCGACATAGACAGCAAGTGACCTCGTTTTGTGCATCGTACATTTCCGGAGCTCTTCCCAACGTGGTTCCAAGCGTTATGCCATGTATCCACGTTTGTTTTCGATCAGGTGACTACAATATTTGTACCACATGAAACGGAATCGATCGAGCAGATAGATGTTGTCGTGAGGTTGGCTTTCCCCATTAGAGTCAGACAAACGTTATTTGAAACCGTCCGTGTAACCACGACCACAAACCACACTGTCCACAACCTGTGACATCCTCCCTCATACGCCCCTGGTCCTAAAACCCCTAAAACGTGCGTCTCACACCAATTCCGAACTTTGTTTCGCAACAACAACAGCGAGAATCAAGAAGGCGAAGGAGGAGACGCGCAAGCCTCAACCACCATGGCTGGCACAAGCGCTGAAGAGCTTGAAAAGACAGCGAGGGCGGTGGAGGGTTTGGACAAGGAAGAGAGACGGCGGCGTTTCTTTGAGGTGAAATTGGCCAGGGAGAAGGCGCAGCGGCACCTGGAGAGCCTCGTGAAGAAAAAGAAGGAGAAGGAGGACGAGGTGATTTCATTTCGATGTTTGTTGTTAGTCGGCTGATTCGAAACTTCTGAGCCGTTTGCATTTCTGTCGTCATTCATTCATGTACGATTGAAAAATTGTTCATCCACACGTTAGCGAGCAATTCACCGCACGTACATAGATAATTCTATCGTTTGGACAATAACGGCAGAGTACTGACAAACAGCACTTTTTTATTCTTCGCATCAATATTAAGTGTGATCGATGCACGTATACGTGACACACAGGAGGAAAACGCCAAACGAAGGCAGACAAGAAGGATGCGAATCCTTCGAGACAAGGTCCTCTTCATGGCCAAGGAGCTACGGCAGAGTGGCGATCCCTCCAAGGCCGGACAATGCCCAGAAACGGGGGCTGAAAGCGGCGAGGTGAAGGCATAAGTAGGCACATTCCAGGGTCGACCAGGGGAATACACACATCCTATTACCATCTCGCGGACGCCCACCCCGGTTTTGCGAAGTAGATGTGTGCCTTTGAGTCTCGCACGAAAGTCTTTTTCGCTCAGGCCCCTGGTCATGGGCGCGACAACCGGGGGAAGATATACTATGGTACCATTCAAATTCCGAAGATGGTCGGTGGTGCCCCGTGAATCTCTTAGATCGCGCAGGGATCCGGTGTTGCCCAGGTTGCCACATGTGCATGGAAGTACTGCAATTTCCGTATCCACGGGCGTGGGATAGAGGCTTGTATATAACCAGTACGGTGACGGGCCCCGCCAGCCTCCCCCCCCCACACCTACCCACCTCTTATCTCCCACTAGGCACTTCGCTCCAAGAGGGGGCCAACTGAACTAAGATCACGGCACCGCCCACCGACAATTACAACACGCTCCCGCTCACGACTTCAATCTGGCCCCCCGCACCCCTCTCCGCTCTGTCGGGGGTCCAGTGCGTCCTACCCGATCGTGTTGTTATGACCGAATATCACACTATTACCCCATAGTGACATGAAATGGTATCATCGACACAACGCGAAACAGGAAGAAAAGAGCGGCAACGGCAACACCGCCAGGGTGGCGGAGCCACCGAGGTTGACGGACGAGGAACTACAGACGAGCGTGGAGCGCCTGACTCAGCAGCGCAAGGGCGGGGGCGTGATCACAGCGAGCGCCCGCGACTTCAACGACTGGAAGCGCAAGCACAAGGTTGCCCCCGAAACTAAGGTACACCGCAAGTATAGCGCATTGGCGATCGAGGGACGTGTTTAAGCACTGGTGGTTTAGAAATACGGTGGATGGATATGTATGCAAGAACGTCAGGCGTTTCTCAGACCCCCCCTCCCCTCCCGTTTATTTGCGGGCCAAGCCTTCCTTCCCTTGGTTCGTTCGGTAATCGATCAGCGGGTAAAGCGCTCTTCCAGAGACGGGCGTGGCGGTCAAGAAAAAATGAAACAAGAAAACAGAAGCCGGGCCGTGCTTGTCCGCTTGTGTGTTTGCCACGTTTGTGAATTGCACAGGAGGTTTTCAAGATATGAACGAATCGCAAAGCATCGCGCAACAAGGACACACGTTCGTTATTCGGTATTCCACCCTCGTGTACAAACACACTTGTTCATTAGGTGTTCGTGATGACGGGATGGTACCCATGCGTAAAGAAGGCCTTGATCGAGAGGGGATGGACGCAGAACCATGACCGAGACTCTCCGTTCTTCGACCTCAAGTGGACCCTGCACAGCCAGGACATCCGCACCACGGACATAGAGCCGTGGCAACTCTGCAACCACTTTTTCAAGGTACTTATGGTTTTAGAGGCTCATACCTAAAGCTTGGCATGGATAACAAGAGCCACCGGTGGCCGCAACACCGTTTCCCTGTGATCCGACAACACCTAGCTAAACGAAGTGATTCCGCTGTAAACTGCCTGTTCCAAAGTCCACGATCGAGCCCAACGCGTCCCTTTGTCCCTCCCATCCTGTCTCCCTCGACCGACCGATGTGCCGACTGATGGACTTGTCTCAGAACGTGGCCATCACGACCAAGGCGGGCCTGCTCGGAAACCTTCGCAACCTCAAGTGGTTCGCCGACTGCGACTGCAGCGAGATCCTGCCGAGGGGCTACGACCTCTCCATCGACACCGACGTGCTGGTGAGATGGCAATGGGTCGAGGCACGGAAAGGACACCGCCGGAGATCATTAGTTCTTCCGTTCATGTTCACGAATGCGATGTCGTACCCCGAGGCAAAAAGAAACTTCTTTTTCATGTGACACGAACCTGGGGATCTACCTTTAAAATCCTCTCTTTTTTGTTTTCAGGGGTTTCTGGACGACTACTGTGCCACGGCCGCCGAGTCTCTCCTGAAGCACGTCTTCCTCAGGGCAAAGGGCCGCGTTGCGCTACGGCGTCTCGGCTCTTCTGCTGTCGGTTGTCCAAAAGCGGAGGCCAAATCATCTCCCTCGCGGGGCTGCGATGGCGGCATGGATAGCGACGAAAATGACGTGTACGACGACGAAGACGACGCGTTCGACGACAGCAGCGTCGACGACGAAAAAGAAGGAGAAGAAGCGGTCCCCAGGCCACCGCCACGATCGGGATCGTCGCCCTCTATGGTTTCGCCCAAGACAGCTACGCCGACAGTCGTTTCCACCACCGGTGCAACAGCTCCGCCGTCGGTTTCATCCGTCGATGACCGCGTGACAGCTCGAAATGCCGCCGCCGACCCGGGCGGTGCCATGACAACACCGCCAGAATCATCACGAGGAGCAAAATCATTAGCAGCAGAGGGTGCTGTTTCACCCACGGATGATGGTGTGGTGGGAGGTACACAGACGGAATCACGAGCGGCGTTCAAGCAGACGGCCGATCTCGGTCCTGTCTCTGCTGCTGGTTCTGTTGTTGCTGCTAGTGCTGCAACGCCTGCTGTGGCTCCGAGCAAGCCGGTTGAGGTTGGAGCGGTTGGTACAGCGGAGGTAGGAACGCCGATGACAGCACCGCCACCATCAGCCCAAACAGGACCATCATCGCTGGTACCCGAAGATTCGGAGCAGGGCCTTCGACAACAGCATCAACAGCCTTCCGGGGTGCCCGTCCCACCCCCCGCGGTGCGCTCGTCGAAGACGACGACGACGACGACGGGATCATTGTCATCGTCGATGGTAGGAAAAGAAGCCGGACGAGAGAATGATGCTTCGACTGACCAGAAAGGCCGGGCTGCTCAGGCGACAGACGGTACTATCGGGAAGGGCGACGGAAGTGACGGTGGCGGTGGCGCGAAGTTGCGAAGACAGATGCCGCCGGTATCCGCTCGAAGGTGAGGATTGTGAGCGATATCTCTGTGTAGAGGGTGTTAAGATGTACAGCATTCCAGCAAGGGTACACCCTGTAACAATCCTTGTCCACGGCTAGCTAGAGATGCGACCCAGGAAACTCTTCCCGCTCCCGCGTGGGCTGTTTCGCATTTGGTTGCCAGTATGAGGCACCTAAAAGCTGGACGTAACTAAATAAGGTTAATGAATGCCTATGAGTGGCGGATGAAGAGCGACGAGATGCTCAGTATTTCCTTTGTTTGTTGCCAACAATCGACCGAAACTACATGTAGGAAAAGTGCAAATACCGCACAAGCCGCTATCTTTACCACCTGTGTCTTCTGTCATCGAATCGGCAAAAGATGCTAGAATACGCAGCACTTGGTGACATGTCGTAAACCTGTGTTGTAGGCGTTTGTTGACGCAAAACTACATAGTATGTTCGATCGATCTACAGCCGACCATGAACAAACCACACACTGTGTAAGGGATGGGCGAATCAACCCCTGACTCTCTTCTTCCATTCCCTCATGTGGCAGACGGCCATGGGAGCCGGAAGGGGCAGGGATCCAAGTCAACGCAGAGATCATCGGTGCCGCTCTGGCGGTCTGCCGAAGGAAACACGTGCGTCCCCGACACCCCTGTTGTTTGTACACTCCACAATAATATATCTGTATTGAAGGGTGCCGGTTACCGTAGGGCGGGAAACCACTGCGAGCGACGATTGGACGTGGTGTGTAAACATAAACGAGACAAAGAACGGCACAAAGAGTGGCACACAGAAGTGCGGTACCGCTCCGAAGTCCGAAACGCGCCTCGGTCGTCTCTCGGTGTCGTACGGCGGAGGGGTGCTAACATTCACATGTGCAGTTGCAATCGACAAGGTAAAGCGTGTCTCACTTTTCTTCTGCACCGATGGACGCGACGCCTGTTGGACGCCCTAGGATCGTGAAATGGAAACATCAGTTACTTGAAGGAAAAAGTAGATAGGCCACGATGTACATGCCTGCAACGCCTGTGTGTGTATTTGGCAAAACCCCAGTACCACCAACGCGAAAATAAAACCCAAATACACGCATCCTCCCTCCACCACCAATATGTGGTACACCACACCGACCCTCTCCCCCGTGCGTGGCACACGAAACGTCCCCCCTCGCCCCTCCAACATGTCTACGAAACCGACAAACAGGCTCGCGTAGGAGAAGGAGAAGGCGGGTTGGACTCCGGGGGACCAGCGGAGGCCCTGTGCAGCGAGCTGGAGTGGGAGCTGATAGGGCTTGGCACAGGAGGGGGGGCGCCGCACCCGGATATGCCGGGGCTGTACAGGCCGCATCCCCTCCCTTCCAGGCCTGCAACTCCACTAGAGGCTTTCATTCAGACTCAGGCCGAGAAAGAAGTGAGATTGAACAGGGGTTGTGGAATGTTGTGCAATATTTACGCGAACTATTGGAAGTGGTGTATGTGAAACTCATGCGCGCGTGTAAACATTGCAAGCGGGGTGTGCGGGTGCTCTAGCAAGCTGTATTTCATTGTCGGACGAAGGTTGTCTTGTGAGTGATCGGTGTGAGGTTGTGCTCCCCTTGATGGTATTTTCAGAGTTTGCCATGTTGACATTCCGTCGACCCCTCCTTTCCTCCTCGTCCGATCATGATCAGCGGTCTCGCTCACTTTTAGCTGACGTCTCCCTATCGCGACCACCACCACCACCAACAACAACAGGCGTCCTCTAAAAGTGGCACCCGTGAGGGACGGCGAAAGCAAAAACAACAAGACGACCTCCGCGCGGCGTGTACGGAGAGAGTCCGGACGGTCGTCCCTTTGGGGGACGCCATGCTCCAAGAGGTCGAAGCCGTGCTCGAGGCAAGAAAAAGAGAATTTTTTTGTTTTAGCTTGACTGGGGGTTAAGGGGATGAAGAGTGAGGCCGTGAAGGCGGATGGGGGGGGACCCTTAATCCGTGATGGTTATGTGCTATGATGGAGAAACTAGTACCCTAGAGGTTGTTTCCGCTGCTCGTCCCTTTACCACCCGTTCGCCCGCGTCGTGGGAGGTCGGACTAGTTTTCTCCGTACCTCAGGATAGATCGATGTACCCCTAAAAGGATACATCTCCGATCCCTTTTGACTACAACCCATGATTATGACCCCATCAGCGGTTCCGCATGTCCACAGACATCGTTCAGCATGCCGAATATGGGATGCCCAGCAACACAGACATCGTTCAGCATGCCGAATATGGGATGCCTAGCAACACATGTAAACATTTTATATTCAGCTCGCCGCCTCGGGGGCGCTTTCTTTCATGTCTCTTCCATCTACCCTAGTATCGTTCACCCAGCTTACGGAGCTGGAAAATACTCCAGCCACACGAAAGGCGTTTTGCTAGCAGCGGCTGGTCACGGGCTGAAACCATCGTTTCCCATAAACACCGCACTGTCCAGACGAAGGTGTATTGTTTCCCATCACCCAACACGACAGCTTCCCCTCTATCTGTTGGCTGCACATCCTGCTCCAAACGCAAACAGAGAGCGGCTATGGCTTCGCGTTCGCAGTTCGACCTCAACGGGGACTTCTGCCAGAACATGTGGATTGTCAAGCCGGTACGTGTCCGTGCGTAGTTTCCACTTGGTCCGAGGATACTTCACCAACATCCCGTTTTCACGAGCCACCTAAAAGGCAGTGAACGGCTGTTGTACCTTTTAGTGAGTAATCGTCTTGGTTTGGTTCACACAACGAAGTATCAATCGATAGTCAGTCACAGCCAACCAATTGACGCAATTTGTCAAGACCTCTCCGCAACTCCATGAGTCCCCCCCACGTATTTACCCCGTTCTGAACACACCACAGGCGGCCAAGTCTCGAGGTCGGGGTATCGAGTGTTTTACGGAGTTGGATAGGCTTCTGAACTACACGGAATCCAAGCAGCCCCAGGCCGTGTCCCAGTGGGTAGTACACAAGTACATCGAGGTATGGTGTACTGCTGTGACCGTGTGTACCTTGGCGCTGGGTTCGCTTTGTAGGGAAGTTGTGGTTTTGTTTTAAACGACGATGCGATTTATCCAGGGTTTGGACCACAGCCAGCCATTTTGTTTTTACTCGTTTTGCTGCTTGTAGACACGCCGAGCTGAGACTTTGTAGGAGGCGCGACGTTTCGTTCATGGTGTGCCCTCGACATCGCCGTTGCCCTCCGGTATGTGGTGATACAAGTGAATCTCCACATCGTTTCAAGAGTTACGAGTACACAGTTCACAGCTGCTTGCCGTACGGTTCATCTCGACCGCTTGTTATTGTGCCTGGGGGGCCGGGTGACGGCTACTCTGTAAGTGCAAGGCACGAAGCGCATGGCTTCGTGTTTTGAAGACATACGGTTTGTATCATCTGTCTTCGACGTGTGGGGTCGTTTGGTATACTTCAAGTTGCCCGAGGTAGTGATCACGACTTTCACAGAGACTTGGATGCCCCCCCTACCCCTTCCTTAGGGGACCTAAAATGTTGTACCATCCCATCTTAACGACGTTTTCGATGCACCGTTTCGCGTTTGAAGCAAAAGCTACGTGTGAGTTGACAGTGGCAAGCCATACAACCGCTCGCGGGAGAGACCGTGATGGCATTTGCTAAGTATGAGGCTAACCTTGTTTTTCAGCTTGAATGTGTCGCGCACCCCTCTCACTCCCGCGGGACACGAGCTCGACAGCAGGCAGTGAATGCTGGTGTCATTTGCAGTTCTACCACGCGGACGGTTCTTGTGTGTCCCTTCCGTGTTGCGTTGTCTTGGTTGCAGAACCCCTTGATCATCGCGCGGCGCAAGTTCGACATGAGGCAGTGGGTGCTGGTAACAGACTGGAATCCTCTGACGGTGTGGTTCTACGACCGCTGCTACGTTCGCTTTGGAGTCGAGGAGGTATTTTTCAAACATGTTTTCTTATGAGCAAACAACCGCGGAACAACAAGAGAGAGATCAAGTTTATAGAAAAAACGAAACCAAGAATGTCACATTCCAAAAGCGGGCACGATGGTGTCATGGTGTCTTGCGAGGGTGCGCGTGCTCCCCCGATTGTGTACCAGGCGTTTGTGTGCAAACAGCATGCTCTACATATCTACACAACGTCCTGCTCAACTCTCTTGTTGTACGTTCTCCAAGAATGTCGATGCCGCGTCCGCCCGTAAGCATCGATCGAGCTCTCCCCGTATACATACCAGTTCCGCGGTCGTAACGTATTACCGCGTTCCCTGCCTCCCGTACCACATGCTAGAGCGACCTTTGTTTTCGTTCAGGTTGTTGCGGTCGACCCGAAATTCAGGAGAATGTGCATTTTGCCAACCGAGAGGAGAGTTTCTCTAAATGAACTCCGGGCTGCTGTCGTTACAATTGGTGTGGTTAATTTCAGGTGGGTGATTCGTGTCCCGCACCAGCAGTCGCCGCATCAACGAACCTGTCTCTGCCTCGCCAAATGTGCAGTTCAGTTATCATCTGTTTTCGTTTCTTTCATCGCTATCTCAATACTATCTAGTACACGACGTCGGGCAGCAACATCGGGAACAACTTCGTCCACCTCGTGAACAACAGTATCTGCAAGAAGTCCGACAACTTCGGAAAGGTAACGACACCCGCCCTGCTACACTACCGTTGCGTGCAAGATTTACACATTTTACATGTACAGTCCAGCAGAAATGACCAAGAAATGATGTGTCCTGCTCTCTGTATCAATTTTGTCTGTAGTGCATTCCGCAGTCCCCCACGCAAGCATATGTGTGCGACAAGAGCACACAGACGAGAGATGCTGCTTAAACAACGTATGTTCATGCGTACCTTTATGTGTGTGTATTACAGCTTGCTCGTAACGTGTCACTGATCTCGGCCATGCATAAACTAAAATGTACGTCCAAAACTAGGTGTCGGTTGCCGACAACGGGATTGAGGTGCACGAGCACATGTGGTCAAACGAGGTGTTCACGGCTTATGTGGACGAGGTGGCAGGGAAGGGCTGCTGGAGAAAGAGGATGCAGCCAAGGATGGAGCAGATCGTCACGTGGAGCCTGCTCTGCGCCCAAGTGAGATGCACATTTGGTTCATTCTACGGCGATTACTACCGTAAGAACAAGAGTGCACCGAGCCTCTATCCGGTGGTCGGCCTACTTTGTGAGAAAAATTGTCTGTACTTTTGTTCGTGAGATACCACACCGGGGATAACGCGCGTGGCCGTATTTGGGGTTCTTGCTCTGCACTCTGGACTTGAAAACCAAGAAAAATACACCCGCTCGTTACCAAAGGAGCTAGAATTGGAGCAAGTACCTTGTTCGGGGTTAACATCCGTTTGGAACAAGACCTCGGGGGAAAAATCACGAAGATTAGCACACGCAAAGACCGTGGCTGGAACTGGAACTGACTCCATTCCCCCGGCCTACATGAAGATTTCAATTAACATTGTTGTGTGTGTGGTCGGTAAGCCGATGTCCAATGGTCTGTTAACGTTTTCCGATATTTTTTCTTGCTTGTTTTTAACCACGTCCCAGGACCTGGTGGAACACCGCAAGAAATCTTGGGAGCTCTACGGCTACGATTTCATGGTAGACGATCAATACAAGCCGTGGCTGATAGAGATAAACTCCAGCCCTGCCTGCGACTACAGCACCAAGGTACATTCGTACGAATCAAGCTGGACGCCGCCTTCTTACGAACATATCACAACATGTTCGTCGAGCGTGGGATTGAGAGCAATGATTCGAACAGTGAAAAATTGTTTTCTACGGTCGCGCCTATTTCGTGGTGAATTGAGTGAGGGGCAACCGCTTGTCCTGCATGGTTACTTAGACAGTAAGGTAGCGAGGAGTAGTGGATGTATCGATGTCACTCATGGTACGGCGGCATCGGAGTTAATATGACTCCCGGCCGCCGGTCTCCTTCCGCACACAGCCGAAAGGAATAACAAGTATCTAAAGTTCGTACCTAGTCACAAATGGACTGCCGGTTCAAAGTTCCAACCATCCCTAGGCGTGCAGAAGGCATGGACTCAATCCGCCCCTCCCAAGCCCCGCCTCTGCCTGCCTCATGCTAAAGGAAGCGGCCTCGGATCCCTCTTCAACGCTTCAAACTAGCCGATCGCTTACGTAGACGTGAAGACCGACCTGTAGCAAACCTCCGGTCTTAAAAAGTCGTCCCGTTGTGGTCCGTAGCGAGGGTGCGAACCCGATATACAAACATCTGAGCATCATATGGTGATGTCGCTTCTTCCCCTCCGGCATTGTCAAGGTCTCTCAGACAGTTTTTCTGGGCACTCGCATGCCTACCAACCATACTATCGCGAACGTTCCTTCCAACCGCAGGTGACCGAGCAGTACGTGCAGGCCGCCCTGACGGACCTTCTCAAGGTCACCATAGACCTGCCCGCGTGGGAGGCAAACCAAAGGAACAAGAGCAGGAGCAGAGCGTCGCAGCCTCAAGCCTCGTCCGCTCCTTCGGCATCGGACTCGCAGACTCAGGACCAACAGCAGCAGCAACCACGAGGGGATGGGGTTGCGGTTGCGACAAAACTGGTCGCGGCCGACAGCGCAGCGGCCGTCGCTGAGAAGGAGAGGCACGAGGCCCCGACTTTCGTCGGCGGCACGACGTCGTCGGCATCTGCAACACCGGCACCTGAAACCGACAGAGCAGTGAATGCTTCGGTAACACCGGGTGGCGACAGCTGCGGGAGTAGCCGGGAAGATAATACCACTTCCGCAGGTTTGGGTGCGGAGGGTGACCCCGTTGCTGCTGAAAGAGAGGACGGGGGGGTGCAGGGGCGGAAAGGAGCCGCGGAAGGGAGAGGGGATACCCCACCCGACACCGGGCTGTGGAGGCTTTTGTACAAGGGGAGCTTTGTTCCCTTCCCCGTCGCGTCGTTTGGAACGGACCTCGCGCTCAAGGGAACTCGCATCGCACATAGCAAGCGCACGCGATCGTCGCCTCATGCCGTGAAGCTGTAACTGTAACTGCCGACTTCTCAATACCGGTCTAGACATTTTGTTATTCTAAGGTGGTGAAGTCGTGCTCTCGAATTGTCTTCGGTTGATTTACTGCAAAATATGTGGGACGATATACAGTAGGTGTCCCGATATAGTGCCGGTATGTATCCAGGCGATTTGACCGGCACTATACCGGGCACCGGCACTATTCAGAATTCTGCTTGAATAGTGCCAACACTATTCAGGGCCTGAAAATACCTCTATAGTGCCGGCTTGGCACTGTTCAGGACTGCTCGACTTCAGAGTGCAGCGCTTGCGCTTTGCGGGGCTGACAGAGTACCAAACGAACGGTATTTGGATCAATCGTGAGGTGGGCGACGTGGGCGGGCTTCATTAAGTTCGTGAGGCTCTTGGACTGTCGAAAACACGGCATTGGTCACATTAAAAATAATTTGATTGACCAGATAGATTTGTTTCTTAGCAGTTGTTCTCTTCCTACCTCACCGCAAGCACTCGCTAGTGAAACGTTGCTCCTGCCTTTCAACCTTAGACCGTGCTGCCCGATAAAAGTTCAACTCGCTATCAAATTAGTATGTGTTGTATTGCAAGAAGACCGTAGCACTATTCAGGGAACCTCAAAGGCACCCCTCGACAGCGAAAGAAAGACGCTCATGCGCGCACCCGATGTACATTTGGAGGTGAAACATGGATGGATGTAGTGTTCCTTACATGAGCACAACAAGAAAAGCAGATGCAACCTAAAAAAGGGGTGAAGAAGATAACGAACTCCCCTGTTCCTTCGATAAAAAGCTAGAGAGAAGACCAAGCCTTCAGAAGCAAGAAAAACGACTGGCCAACCAAAAGGCGTCAGTCTCAGTGCGGTCAAAAACAAAAAATATTTGTCTCTCAAGGCCGTGAGAGGGTGTCATGGAGGAGGCTGAGCTATTCTCTGGACAAAAGACAGAAATGGTAGCAGCAGAGAGAGGGGAACTACGTGACTGCCAAGGCTTACTACTTTGAACACGCATTCGTCTCGGAGTGTTTTCATCCTTAGAAATATTTTATTTACCACCACTACTACATACACTCTTTACAAATATTTTTCCACTATTTTCGGGCTTTCATCTCTAGATTCTGCGCCCCTGCGGCGTTTGTTGTGAGGGAGGTCATCTCGCTCGAAACTCTTGTTGTTCCCCTCAACACCATATTTTCCTCCTGCATCATCACTTCTATCCTTGGCTATAGTTTTTATATCCTTCGTCACCACCACCATCTTCCTTTTCGCTCGCCTCACTACTGAAATCCCAGCCTATTGGTGGAACCTGGTCGATCGGTATACCGTGACATTTGAAGACGTCACGCGTACCGAGAGAAACCGAGCTATACTTGTAGCTCGAAGGGAAACCGTCTCCGAATCCTGTTGGCGTGGAAGGCTTGAGGCGAAAAAAGGCTGTGTGTGGGGTCTGAACCGGCACTATTGACAGGTTCGATAGTGCCTGAACCGGTACTATAGCGGGCAGCCCTGAGTAGTGCCAAACCGGCACTATACAGGCCTGTGTCTGTGTCGAGAAATTTTACCGGCACTATTCCGGACGTTGGCACTATTCAACCGGCACTATATCGGGACACCTACTGTACGTACGAGCGGGGCTTTTTGTGCGAAGAGGACTCGGCAACTTTCTTTTGGCTTGAAAGAGACTCAAGCAAACGGATGTGTCAATCGGTGAGAACGAGGCAAAAGTGCATCGGAGGAAAAGCTAGAGCCTCGTCGTACCGCTTGGCACAAGGGTGGACGTCGTGCACGTGTGCTCCGCACTGACAATGTGAATGCCAGTATTCTCATTTTGTTGTTGCCTCTTGCGGCTCCGTAGAGACTTCAAGTTGTTTTCTTTCCTGTTGGAGATTATATTTCTATCGGCAATGCTATTTGCTCCACCGGTGGAGTAACTTCTTACGTGCTCCAACAGGCAGATCTCTGCCCACAGAGTTCCAATCAATCTCAAACCAATTCCATCGTGTAGGTAAGGGCTACAGCTATCTAGCAAGCTACCTTAGAAGCTAAATCGGACCAGTGGCTGCAGAGATATGCTCGAAAAAGTAGGGCTTCGCAGCATCTCAGGAAGTGGTAATCCTCTCAAACCTCCGTGCACACAACTCTAATTTACCCCAAACCTTTTGCATCGTGTTTCAACCACCCATACCTTTCATGCAAGCTATCCAATACCCCCATCCGATATGCTCGTGCAGAGATATGGTCAACGTGACAGGGGCGATGCGAGATTGAGGGGCGTTGGGGGTTGCAAGACTTTAAGATGGATTGCATACATCGATCCCCTGGTGAACAAATCCCCCCTCCGTGCGGAGGTCATTCACGTGGGGTCAGGTTTAGTTCATGGTGTGACCCCGCCTTTGCTGGTCGGGTCTGCACTAAAAGAGGGGAGCCTTGCCCTGTGGGGAGTCTTTTCACGTACATGACGGAGAGTACCAGACAGACATTACAAAAAATTGAATGTTGCCGGATTCCTTATGCCCACCGCCGGTCTGTCTGGCTGTGTGTCCTGGCTGAGCCAGGCTTGTTCTCTAAGAGACTCTCGCGATCTTGTCCGTTCAGACAGAGGCGTTGCCATTGAAAATCCTGATGAACCGAAGCAGAGAAACGCGAAGACAGAACAAGCGTGTTCCCGTCCTGACCGAAGGGCGAAACGTGTACGGTTGGGTGGAATTGAAGCCAACGCGTCCAAGATTCCTCTCTCTTTATCTCCCTTTTCTCTCTTCGGTAATGAATGGTGACAAGTCACCAGTCGTCGATTCCCAACATACCGCCCGCCGTGGCTGACGCCACCCGTCGTACAAGGAAAAAAATCACAGAAGCGCTAGGGACCGTTCTTCAATACCAGCGAACTACCCCCACACTCTTGTCTCTTCTCCTGGTGGTTGGAAATATTAAATATGCATACAGGTGATGTCGTTCCCTAGTACGACTGAGGCATCAACGGACCTCCACTCGGCTTTCCTTTTCGCCAACGACGACAGCTTGGAACCAATCCCAAGGGGCACCTTGGGCCGCAGCGAATCTCAAAACCTACCCCCTCTCTGTACCCCGAAGGCGTTGCCTCCTTATCCTACGCCCCTGCCCCTCCCCCTCCTCCCGTCTCATCGTCATCGAAAAGCCGCACGATGCCCTCCTCTTGGCACGCCAAACCCGTCACCGGACACTCCCCGTGCTCTCGGACGTGCGCGGAAAGACACCCGTAGCAGAAAACGAACCCGGACGCGGCGCACAGGGCCGGGTTCACCCGCGCCCCGCCGCAGGCGGGACACGCCCCCGAGTCGGATGGAACTCCGCAGCCCCCGGGCGCGGCTAGTGGGGGCTGAGGCGGAGGGGGCGGGGACGGGAGTTGGGATCTCCTCCACGATGAACCCTCCTGGTGCGTTGTCGGAGGGACGGAAGGGTAATTAATGTGTACGAAGAAGCGAGGGGGGGTGACGGGTCGACGGGGAGTAAGGGGAAGGGTAGGTTCAAATGATTGCATGGCCGTTATGATGTGCTACGATAAATCGTTGCAGAGGTCGGGCGGAGTGCATTGGGGATCCGGGGGGCTCCAGTGCTTGAGTTCCGGTGCGAGGTGGATGTAAAAACAGTGTCGTAGCGATTGCTTGGCGAATGGGTCTATCGCGTACACCTCTTCAACGGTGTAAAACAACCCACAAACCTTGACAGTATTTCAAACCAAGGCAACGAACAGAACCAGTGATACAAATTGCAATGACTGCAGTGTAGTAAAGCCATCCCCCACCCATCTACAATACAGGTGTACGATAACACCACCACCTTCACCAATAACAACAACAACGACAATGCAAACATGACCAGTCCATCCTCTTACCTGAGACTCGACCCTATTCCACCACTCCACAATCTTGAACGCCACGACCGCGGTTATGAGCAGCACCCTCCCGTACCGAGCCACCCGATCTCCTAGACTACCACCACCGCCACCGCCACCGCCTGCACCCTCACCACTCGGCCCTCCCGCTGCCGTGGAAGCTGAAGGGTCCTGCTTGGCACAACCAAACACCAAAACCAAATTGAATTGATCATCGACTGGAACAGATAGAACCGCAAGGCGTGGCCAGGTGGATACCAAGGAAGCCATTGTTCTGAAAGTTTTCCGAGAAAAAAAACAAACAGCGAAAAAAAGACAACAATCGCATACTTGGTGTGAAGAGGGTACGCCCGTAAGTCTAGCAGCAACTGTAAAGTAATCATGCTCCTCCCCCAACCCTCCGTATTCACGGGGCCAGTCCTCACCGCTACTGCTGTCGCCGCTGCCGCCGCCGCCGCGGCTTCAGCATCTTCCTGCCAATCCTCTATCGTTGCTCGCCTCACGACCATGCCCGTAAGTCTTAGGGCCGGGGAGAAGAACGCCGACCGACGGAAGAGGTAGAGCCACTGGTAAACCAGGCACGACCCTTCGTACGATGCGCGTAGGAGTGGGTAGACCTGTTGGTGGATGGGCGGGACAGGTCAAGAACAGTTTCGGAAAATGAAAAGGCTTGAGCTTTCTGACAGAAAAGAGACATTCTTCGCGGCAAATCGTGGGGAACCGCCCCAGTCCCCACTGGTGTATGGCAATAGCGAGCAGCCTGGTAGCATGTTCCACCAGAGAGCGCTACCTGCAAGAGACCAGATGTCGCGCGAAGCTGAGGACGTGAGCTGCGGACAACATTTCCAAAAGGATGGACGAGCATGCTGCACATAGAACGTCCAGGACATCCTGGCCAACAAAACCTTTGGGTATCGCAGCTAGTGCCAATAATTGAAAAAATGGCCGCACGCCAACAACAAGAGTAACTCAAGGGTACAACGCCATGCGTTGCTTCGGTCTGAGCCCTGGTGTTGATATTATTAGCCCTTCCTCACACCCTCTCCCGTTCTGTTCTAAAGAACACCCAAAAAAAAACCTTGGTGTGGGCCTCAGCAGAGTATATCTACCCTTCAATTTGTACCTGAAAAAACAGCTGGCGGAGAGCGAAAAATCGTCGCCTAGCTTCGGCCCTGGCTCTCCTTGCCGAGCCCGAGAAGCCCCGCCGGCTAGACCTAGACTCCCCCGCACCCCCTCGACCGGCACCGACTCCGCCATCACTACCACCATGAACACCATCATCGGTGTTGCTTCCACGAACGGAACTATTCCTCCTTGCTGATGCTGCTGCTCCATCTACCGCTGGTTCTTCGTCCTGCGGAGTAGGCCGCGGGAGGCCGCCATATGCCCGAGCTGCCAAAGATCTGGTTTTCGCGGTTAACAGCAGGTGTTGGTGCTGGCTTGTCGGTTTGCGACTTGGTTGGATACATATCTGGAGCCGAATCAAGAATGGACAGCATGCACGTGGTTGCTTCCCTAACACGCAGTAGGACATTCTCGGCAAACCGAAAAGGCAGACCGCCACAGTCGTCGACAAAACACCGCCCGTATTTGTTCTCACAAACACGGATTGCAGTACGAAGCCAACGTTGAGCACGGCAAAGAGACAAATCCATCTGCCGTCCCGTCAACCCCCTCGGAGCCTGCAAAACGACCTCCTGGGCAGATTTCTAGACTCGTGTGCCCAAATGTAGGCAGAGCAGTTCTAGAAAGCCTTGAGCTACCGTCAGGCCGTCGGCCCCGCACCTTTCGTGACCGGCGTCAAGCTTGGCCAAGAGATAAGGGAGAGCCGCCGTCATCAACAGCGCCTTGCGTCTGTCTCTCGCGCGCAACCCTTGTCCTTGCCCGTAGCCGGCTCCGTTGAGGTCGAAAGCCACGTGCGCGTCGTGCTCGGCGTCAGAGCTTGCGGGTTGAGGAGTTGGTGGCCCTGAAAACGAACACGGTGAAGACGAGGCAAAAAATCAGTTTCACGCTTCGCTAAACGCACACACGCGATGTGCTTGTTCAACCTGCTACAAGCGGTTCTATATCCTGCTGATTTCCTCATCTCTCCCCTGCTCAATCCCTCCACCGCTCTCACCAGGGGGTCCTGACTTTGGCCCGTAGCGGCAACGCCGGAGGCCATAGAAACTCTCCGACAGGAGAGAACTGTGCTTGGACAGAAATTTAGCCTCGACCAAAAGGGACAACACTAGAAAAGCTTCGTCGAACCAGGGAGAGAGGCGGTGTAGCGATGGCCAGCGAAGAGCCAGCGCGCTGATCGCAAAGAGCATCACGTAATAACGGCACAAGCAGAGCGGCGCGTGTTTTGATGTTTGATGCCTGCACAGTCAAGAGCAGTGTTGGAGTAGATCATATGGTAAGGAATTGCTGTTAGGTGAATAAAGGGTGTGAGGTGATCACTTACTGCGGCATGGTGTTGCGGCCTGGATTCAACTTGTAGCCTCACCTTGCCCACAAGACCTGTGCTTTATGTATGACAGCAGCTGCGTCTGTGCAGAGTTCAGCACCTTCCCCACATAACCAACCATTGCACGGCTAGAGACTGGACTACTAACTCACGCATCCAATATAAGGCGAGTACATACTCATGCAGCGCAGCTAGATATGTGGCGTCCACGCTTGGGGCTTTCGCGTCATCTTGTCAGAGCGCATCCTTGGTGTCACCTCAGATCTGACTCTTACCAACCTGAACTTCTAGCCTTACATGGCTTTCACTGGTATCTGTACCACGCGCTAGACTAATATCGTAGACAAATGCACACAAGGGCATTCACTTTTTGTCGCCTAAATTACACTCTTGAGACAATCCAGCCAAGCTTGTAGGCGTACATACCTGTGCGCATGCCTCGCCGCCGGTTTGAGGCTCTGCTCAACCTGCTGGGTCATGAACATCTCGAAGAAAGACGGCAGGCTGGAATCTGCCTCCAGAGCTGAAGAAGCAAGCATATCCATGGTGGGATAAGACTTAAGCCAGCGGTACTAGCTTCTACCAAGGTTACCCGGTCGGGACGTGTGTGTGCGATTCCTCCCTTTCCCCTCGCGATGAGAGCACGAGACGCGGCGAGATTCTGAAATCGACCCGAAAAACGCCGCAAACCAACCCTCCAGAACTGAACCGTCGGTTACAGATTTTCTCGACTCTCGACTCTCGACTCTCGACTCTCGACTCTCGACTCTTGGCTTTCGACCAAAAACGCGGGACACAACAAGGTCAACGCTTCTCCGTCTTGCCGCGTGATGATACAACCATGATACCATGAAATACCTCTTCACGTACGCAGGAGTACACGAACTTTGTCCCGGCCATCTCCGACTGCTATAAACAAAATGGGCAAATCAAGTGCTGTCCGATTTGGCAGAACAAATTGGAGCTGTCGTGAAAGTTTGTTTCCGCTGGACCCGGACAGCATGTCACAACAGTACTGACTACTGACCTTCATCGTTGCGGTTCTTTGCAAATACAGATATGCATAGACTACGCTTCGGGGGTTTGTTGAAATTCCACACACAACGCGGCTTTGACACACACGGGGCGTGCATTAATTTAGCACGTTGAAGTTCCCAGGCCATCCGAACCAAACGTGGGGGCGAGTGAATCATGGTGGAGGTCGGGAAGCTGTCTAGAGGCCCTCCCAGCGAAGCATGGGCGAGGTCGCTTCGTCAAGAAACAGCTCTCCAGGATCGGTATCGCCGTGCGATTCACCATGTCGAAGGCGGTGTCGAAAATTTCGGGTTCGACAGGTAACCACATGTACTGCTCTGAACGAAGTCTGCACAAGACACTCTAGCCTAAAAGACTACCACATGCTGTAGCTTCAAGGTTGGACACCAACCCACATGAGCATAAGCCTAAGTATATGATAACGTTCAGAATGAACTCGAAACACAGAGGTGTCTTTATTTGTAAAACAAAGACACGTAGCTGGAGAATGGCTCGGACTACTACTGCGCTTTGCACGACATATGTTGGCTCCTAGTAGAATCCGTGCCGAGGTGCCGTCGCCTGAGTTGCGTAGGTTATGCTCAGACAGTTGTCCAGAGAAAGGTTGGTCTACGGTCCCCCAGCATCATATGCTAGTCTCAAGGCTGCGCTAGAGCAACAATCATCGCGGACCACGAGGTACCATCGTGGTTACACGAGTTTGCCGAAAGGCGCGTCCGACGTGTGCTCCAGTTCGGTGCTACATAAACACAACGGCATTTACTGCTAAGATCGCGATCCGTTGTTCGATATTCCCGTGAACTGCTTTGGGTGTGGAGTTGATCTTCTATAGAGCCATTTGAATAACGCAAGGCCATCGGAGACGCGAGACTTTTTGCTGATTTCGCGAACGGTCTTGCAACCAACATGAGCCATACATGCTTGTTGGGAGTAACCTTAACCAACAACAAATCTCAACCTACAATACATCAAACATAACGACGGTGTGCAACGATATCAGAACGCCGTGAGCATTGCAGAAACAACAAATATCACCGACCGCGCGAGCGTGCACAGATGGAACGCTGCGCGATGCCTCCAGGAGCAAGTCGACGCTGCCCGTGGTGTGGAGCACACCCGGCGCCTTGCAAAGTCTCGAGGAATCACCGCGCGGTTCACTCGGCGTTCCATGATGAAGGATTTACAGGGGTGAGAAGCGAAGTGTGTGGCTTGCGGCTACGTGGGGGATGAAATTGTTAACTTGCGTGCACTCCAGCAGCAGAACACAAAAAAAAAAAATCACGCTCGAGGTGTGTACAGAACGGGGGAGTTTTTATCGTAAGGTTTATCGTAGGTTCACTTACTTGCCCATGTTTGGGCCTTATTGTCAGCGAAACGCCGACTAAACTGTAGCATATCACCCTGGATCAAAGATTAAACCATTCTCTTGCTACCGCTACGACCTCTGCGGTCGACAGAATAGCGGCCTTCCTAAACTTTCGGTCCAGGTCAATCAGGTGCACCAAAGCGCTGTGGACTGGTATAGTTGTCCCGCGAAAGCGTTAATCCTTGCATAGTTACAAACCGCGCTTTGTTTCGTGTCAATGTTCCAGAACGGAGCTCCAGACAACAATGGGCAGGCCCGACAACCAAACGAACCAGCCAGGTGGCGGAATATCCGATGACGACGCAAGCTTAACCCGAGACCAAGCCCTCGAACGATTTGGAATTGATCTCAGCCAGGTAGGTGTGATGACGTCATCACGAACCGCATCCCGGCAGGCGCTCACCCCCGGTGAAGGTTGCGATGAAGTCCGCAATATCATCGGAGTCGAGCGGGGAGCTGCTGCTACAAATGCAGGCGGCGGAATCGGACGGGAAAAAGAGGACAAGTCCGTGAACAGAACAGGAGTTGTGCGAGGTCTCGGGAAAAATATGACCAGTCCAACGGGGGACAACAGAATCAGCAGAAAGGAGGCGGCGGTAAGGAGGCAAGAGGTAATATCGGAGAAACTGAAGGTACTCGACGTGCTCCTTTCGGTCGAAATCCCTCGTCCACCTCCCGCAGAGGAAGATGTGGAGAACAAGGAGGAGGTGGCCAAAGCGAGCGCGCAACAGGGCGAGAGTGTTGCATCCGAAGACAGTGGTGCCGACAATACCAGCATAGCTGCTTTGCCAATCAAGGAGGCACCCTCTCACACAAAGCTCGCCAAAATTGGTGCAAATTTTCGTGAAGAACTACAGCCTAAAATCCGAAAAGAGGAACTTGTAGCGGAACCTGAACCTAGGCACACACCACACCAAGAGGGAGGAGGTGGAGGACCTGTAGTAGACGTACTCGAAGCTACCACCCTGGACAAGGCCCGAGCGAACGAGGTCGAGGACACGGATCAGCCCCATCTCTGTGAGCAGGCCCTTCCCAATCATAGGTGTGAGGGAGAGCAATGTAGTTTTCTGTCAACTCGTGCTTCGCAGCAACCCCCCCCCCCCGAACAGCAACCAATTTTTGACCTTCTTGCCTGGACTCCTTCGCTGCGGCGAGTAACACTCCTCGTTCGTTTGAAACTATGATCTTTCTGTTTCAAAATGACACGTGTGAACGCTGCAAACATCGCTCACAACACCAGGCCATGCTGGTGGTGGGCTTCTCTGCTTCCGACGGACGTGGGGGATATCTGCATTCCTGACACTGTTTTCTCGGCGCCGACGCGAGTATCTTTCCGACGCAGCAATACGGCAACACCGGAGGTAGCAGTTGCACCAGATCAAACGAGCCGCCGCCAAACCGCATCGGTTTCTCAGCACCACGCAAAGGGCTTGCTTTGGGCCTTCTCGAGGGCGGAAATCATCGTCTCTGACGAAGTTAAGAGCGTAAACGACACAAGAACGAAATCGCGTGGTGGTTTGTTGGCAGTAGAAGACAAGGGTAGCGGCGGCGGCACAATACCGCATTCCCCTTCAGTGGAAATCCGCGGTAGAGGTGCAAAGATTGGTCTCAGTACGCAACGCCGTCCCCTTAAGGAACGACCACCAGTTCAACATCGACTACATACCAGGGCTATCGACGGCAAGGACAGTTTGTTGTGCGCTGCGCGGGCAATATGCGAAAGCGGGAGACGAGGAGGAGGAGGAGGAGGATGGGCAGGGGGAGAAGGAAGAGTCGACGGCAGTGAAGGGGCGCGGAAGGGGGAGGGATCCAAGCTCAAGCTCCCCCTAGCTTTGTTGAAGATTTGGGGCCACGAAAGCGACGAGGAAAAATGGCGGAAAAGTCAAGGAGGGAATTGTGGAGGACGACGATTGACGGTGGTGAGTCGATCGCTTTTGTTCATCGCACATGCATCCGTGTCTCCGCATGCGACGTTGTCTGGACACTATCATCAGCAATCAATTTTGTATTTTACGTTTCCAGATCAAGGGTTGTGCTTTCAGACGGATTTAGTCAGACTAGTTTCTGATCGGCGAAAAACCCAATCCAGCTAGTGACGGAGTTGCATTTCAATTTCCGGCCTGTCGTCTTTTTCTTCGTCGGTTCATGCAAAAAAAATGCACTTGACGGTCACGATGTAAGCTATCGGGCCACCGGCAGTTCTACAACTGCCAATCCACACGCTGTTGTCCATCCACCATCAATGAAGGAATCATACCCACCATTGCTTACGTCCCAACCCTTCTAACCATATAGTGCTTGGCTCACACAGGTATCCCTTTGGACAGAGACCGAAGTGCTCGAAGCCCTACGAGACATGGCCAGGGGCAGGTGGTGCCGACCCTACATTCGTGGAAACGCCAACACAAAGGCAAACTGTGCCCAGACTAACCAGACGACGCCCACGGGCGGCGGTGATAGCACTTCTCGCGTCCCTAGAGGGGGGGAACATCCCGCCCAGGCTTTCGAGCTACCCGTAGGCGACGAAGACGCTTGCTGTGTGCAGGCCTTCACGAAGAGCGGGTCATACAGCGCCGACAGACGAGACCATCAGCCCCGTGACGGCGTGGAAAGTCTTCGTTCGAATGATAGGGGCGAGCATGGTCGTTTTAGACGTGAACGAGGACCGGGGACGGTGGTGGTGGAAGCGGCAGAGGATGCACGTTTTGGTGGGCCGGTGTTTTACCGAGCAGCGTGGAGAAAGACGGGGAAAAAACTTTTTTTGTGGAAAATAAGGAGCCGGTGCGTGTTATTGTTTTTTTCAAGCGAATCATTTTGCTCTCATTGGCGTCCCAAGTTCGGTCGAAGTTTTGCTATTTTTCGTTCATCAAACACGTCCGCCGTCGGCCACATATAGTCGCGAGACAACACGGGCATTAAATATCACGCTTTTTCTTCTCGAGCCCTTGCACGCGTAAACACTGTAAGACAGCCCAACAGCGAAAACCAATGCCCCAACTGTTGATGGGGACCAAGCCGTACGTCGACGACGATCGTTCAGCTTTCGGCTCAGCCCTACCCCTTGCCTAAGTAGGCTGCCCTTCGTTTTCGATATCACCACATCACCACTCAATCGTTGTCGCGTGTCGTACAGGTATCCGTATGTGTCCAACGTGTCAGCACACTTCTGTCCTTTGGTGAGGGTAGGCTCGGCAGCTCCGTTCACAGCTACAGAGGTGGAGGAAGGGGTAGTTGCGACAGCGGCAACTAAGATGGAAAAGCTCACGACGGTGAGCTGCGTAGGTAGTTCAATGGCGAAAGGTGTACAGCGCACACCGGCGACAGAATGTCTTGCTGGCACTGACGCGCTTCGATGTTGAGAATCGATTTCGCACGGAGACCAAAGCATGAGAAACACAGCACAATAGGACGAATACATAACGATTCTCTCAGCGCTAGCGGCCAACATCACAATAACGGCCTCGTCGACATGTATCCACGAAGAAACGAAGTATTCTACCGTGCGTGTGAGGACTACACATGCAGCCTGACTCATGTTTGGTTGAAAAATCAAACAGGTCCTTCGAAAGGCGTACGATCCGACTCTGCAGCGCCTGTGGGCGGACTGGGCGGTACATGAAGACAATGGGCAATGGTATCTCGTCGAGGTGCGAAAGTTGGTGGCTAGGAGGAGGTGTAGGGTTTTCATAATATGTGTGTCTCAAAAATGACTTGTTGACTAGTCAAGACTCTCCAGCTCAGTGGGGGGTTTCCCGGTGACGTAACCAAATCAATTCCTCCTCAGTTTTCTTTCGAACGACCAATACAGGCGGGCGCATATTGAGGGTGCCTCCTGTGTTATGATGGTGGCAGTCGTTATGACTGGCGCCGGTGGAGTCATCTGGACAGTGGGAATACAATCAAACTTGTCGAGAGCACACTGCGTCCCACTGTTGTGTCCTCCAGGCCAGGTGTGAGCCAAGCGCTATGCATTGTTTGTGTGATGGCGTCACCTTGAATCAATACAGGGGAGTCGTGTCCCTCCCTGTTCTTGTCTACCTCCTTCCTCGTCTGGTTAGCCATTGCTAAGCGTTTTCCTCCTTTTCTCGCGAATAGGTCCATGGTGTGAAGACCGAGGCCGACCTTAGAAACGCTGCCGCAGCAAAGGCAGTACCGCCCGCTTTAGCAGAGGTGGAATCGAAGGTGAAACATTCACCGTGTGATAGAATGCACCGGTCAACGCACTACTGTCAACGCAGCAATATAACACTAGGGGCGTTCTTTGATGCGTGCGATACAGAGCCCCCCTCCCCTCAGCTCGTCATCCTTGCCGATGAACAAACGGTACGATGCGGAAGGAGGTTGAACCCAACGTTTGATATTTGTCACCGCCTCATCGAGGAGGTATTTCAGAGGTAATTCCTCAGTCTGGGAGAGAATCGGTGAATGGGGAGGGCCAGGTTGAGAAGGTGACGTGACAGAAAACTGTGCAATCTACAACTCTTTCCTTGATTCCCGACCCACCTTGGGCAGGTGAGTAGAAGCACCCGCCGTATCCCACCAAAACACATTTGCGGCGATCCGGACGAGCTTAGAGCGCGAATTTCTGCGGCGGGCCCCACGCAAGAGCTATCCTTCGTCGAGGTACGCAAAGTCATGTTGAGCACCGCGTGTTCATGGGCGGTATGCGGATGTTGCCTTGAGCTACGGTTTCGACGAATATCTTGCGGATTTCATGGGGTCAGCGGAGGACCTGTGAGTTGAGGACTACATCATTTGTCCAACTCAACCGATGTTTTCATTACTCCCAGAGCAACCCCCCCTCTTCAAGTGTCGACCCCCGCCTCTCGGCCGTCGGTCTCTCCCTGTCCTGTGTCATGAACCTGAACAGCCTTCGAAGAAGATGATTGCGGTCGCAGAGTCCAAGCGCCGCCCACGCAGACCGCCGACTCCCTCAATGGTTGCTGAAAGCACCAAGAAGGCGTTATTGTCGCGGAGAGAAGGAGCATCAGAGCGAAAGAAATCAGTACCGAAAGGCGGTGATGGAGGAGCACGTCGAATGCTCAATCAGTACTGGAGGTAAGGAATTGTCGCTTACGATGACGGTCAGTATCGACGAACAGGCCACCAGAGTTCCATCAACAACGGGGTGTTGTACATCAATACAACCATGATCGCCTTGTGGCTTTGCCATCTAGCTGCTGCTACTGAGCAGTTAGTGCTCGAGTACCTGAATATTGAGAACGAACTTCACAACTGGTTCTGAACATCAACACGACGAATTGACAAATGCTGGAATGCGTCGAAATCGGTTGTGTTCACGGACTACCGGAACGTGAATAAACACATCTGTTCAAAAAGAATTGATGAGTAGCATGGGGGATGTTGCTGTTGGGCGAACAACCAGATGTGCCGGTGACTTCTGCGAAACTCACCCTGATGGACAGCGTCAAGCGTCTGCTGACGCTACGGGGGACAAGAAAGGCAACCGTGACAACAAAGTCGAGACGGGTTCTTTGGTGGTATCTCAACCATCGGAAAGGGCCCGAGGCAGGCCTGTGAGAAATCGTGGCTTGGAGGGGGCCTCTGAAAAGTCAAGCACTGGCGGTGGAGGTAGAGGTGGAGATGGACGAGACGGAACGGAGTGCGAGGAGGACGATATCGTGGGGAGAAGAAAGCACGCCTTGTCCGTGGAGACCCCTCGGACAGTGCTCTTTCGGCTGGTGGGTAGTTTCCGGGTTGTCTCGGGCTTATGATGTTGTCCTCAAAACTGTCGTGAAATACGATCAAAGTCATGTTCAAGTGTTCGTATCACACCTTCCTGGCGAATACCTCTATCGCCCTTCACAAATACTGCTCAAACTCTGGGGAATCTCCACAATACTCTCATCTGTCTCGGCCTAAATGGCTTGGAAGGTGACATAGGCATCCCAAAGGCGATGATAGAGGTGCATGTCATAGTTGAGACTGAATTGCTGTGTGGTGGGCGGAAACCCGACCTTTTCCGGACTAGAAGGACATCGAAGGTGCATGGAACTACAGGAGCAGTACCGCTGCCATTCGCGGTAAAAAGTACACTCACCACCCACACTAAACCCGCCGCTCTTCTGCACGCACTCTCGTACCCCACGTACCTCGACTTTCGCAACAGGTGCTAAACGCTAGGGCAGCCCTCTTACGATGGAGACCATCCGCCGCTGAGTTCTCTATGATGGAGAAGCCGGTGCAACTCTGCTCGGTTTGCTACATGGTTTGCAGCACGATCGAACGAGACCGAATTGAGGTGCTATGCCGTCCCGCTTCTGTCTTCTATACCCACAATTCAGTCAACGTGTAGGTAGTTTTGTTCTGGTTCTCCTGTTTTGTCCAAGCGATGGTCCGATGACGAGTGACATGCATGAACACCAAGAGCGGGGAAAGTAGACGAAGACAAGTCAACTAGGGACGTAACGCATAGTACAACAGGCGAAAACCTGTTCCAAATTTAAACATCTCTCCATGACTTCCCAAACGCCCGACGTCATCCACCTCCTTCTGCGCACCCGTCGATTTCGGACTGCATAGACCACGCGGAGAGCCATGGATGCCGAAGAAGAGGCTGCGAAAGCTGGGAAAGCTAGACGGAATCGCAAGCCACCGGGCTGGAAGAGCCGAGTACAGGTAGACTACAAGCCAACCGCTGAACGGTAGATACCGTAATGACCCTTTGCGTGCTGCGGGTACTGTCGGTGCGTTGTTCTCACGACTCTTCCACGACCTTTCAGAAAGTGCTTATTCGATTGCATCTTCTCTGGGTCTCGAAATAACAACACTTCAACAAGGTGTACGAAGTGTCTAGCCCCAGATACCCCTCCACCCACAACCCCTTTTTCCTCTGGAACAACTTCTCGTCGACAGCACGAGCTGGAGGAGTCTTTGAGCGCCGACCGGCACGTGGTGTCCCGCCTCATAGATAGCTTTGAAGCTGCCGCCGCCATCGCCATGGCTGCTGCTGCTCCAAATGGGGAGAAAATCAAGAGGGCTTCGTCCTCGTCCTCGTCCAAAATTTGTGGAAGCAACAACTACCAAGAAGTGCGAGAAAACCGCGAAGGAGGAGGAGATAGAGGCGGTCGCAGGGAATCGGGCGTAACGTGGGCGGATAGGTATCCGGTAGTGGAGATTCGCCAGCAGGAAGAGAACGAGGAGGATGCGTGTGGGGAATCAATGCTTGCCAAGACTGGTGGTGTCTCTCGTAGTGCGCACTCAACACCAAGAAAGAAAGTTGTAGGTGCTGGTAGGACGTCACTGGGACCATCCAACAGGAGGAGTAAGACGGCACCGTTGGCCCCCTCTTCGGGTCTGACAATACCACCACTAGTTCAACAAGAGAGTGGTGAAGAAACGCCGCCGGTCGTCGTCGGTCTCGACGCCAAACGAACCCAGAATCGGAAAGAAGAAGAGCAGCGTCAGATACAGCCGAGCCGTACGAAGCTGCAAGTGCGGGCGCGTAGAAAAGCCAAAGAGCGGGCACGAAGGCAAGTACGTAACAAGGCTACGGATGGTGCTGCGAGAAACGAGCCATTTGGGAAGCAGAGGGATGGTAAGATTTTGGCGGAAGACGACGGGAGAGCGGGGAGCACACCTGGTGACCAGAAGAAGATTGATCCTGACAAGTTTCCACCGTTACTGCAGCCGACGGCACCAACCGCGCTACTACGGGGGGGAGCTGAACCTGGGGAAGACACCCCTGCGGGACGCATTGAAGGCCCAGATGGTAGAGGGGGGGAGGAGGGGGGCAAGGTGGAAAGGTTCGGGCGAGGCACGGGATCGTTCTGTGACGACGTGAAGACTAGTTGCGATGGCGCGGCAATCGTCAATGGGAGCGAAATCGCCAGTCGCAGTTCCGGCTCTGGTGAGGCCTGTATTGGGTATTCGGTAAAGCAGCTGCAGCAACTACTAGAGCCAACAGCACCGGCGGTGAATTGGGGGCATGAAGGAGAGCAGATTGAAAAGGAGGAGGCGCAGGGGGGAGAGAGAGCTCGTGCAGCCAGAGATTGCGAGAACTCAGACTATGGAGAAGAGGACTTCGAGAAGGATTTTGAAGCCGACGACTTCGAGGTAGCACCTGGAGGGAAAGGGAGTAGCAGTGGCGAGACACCTGGGTGTACCACGGAGGCTGTTGTTGGAGATAACGCAAGCTCCGAGTATGGAGAGGAAGAGTTCGAGGAAGAGGCGGGCTGAATGTGGTTGAAACTTGCGTCTATACTACTGTCCACCTTTCGTCTTTCTCTAGTACGTACCGAGTTAAAGATCGATAGGCAGCGAATTCTACTTTCGAAGTACCAGAAGGTCGTTGTTGGTACTTCGGCACGTTCCAGAGCACTGTTGTAGTTGGGGAGAAAATAGCCTGTACCTCGCAAGATAAATCAATGTTGTTCTACATCCACCTCGATGGTATGGGAACTAACGGTTGTTCGCCCCAACCTCACCGAACGCATCACGATGTCATCAACCGCTTGATCTCTATGCAACAAATGCCGCTCAGTAACAGTCGCGGAATCGAGGCAATGTAATTCCTCAGAAAAGTACAACGGGGAGACCGCCTGTTGCCTGTCATTCCGAGTCGGAACAGAATGTGAAAAAGAAGATGAGGGCATTGTACGTAGACACTATTCACCTACGCACCACCAGCACGTCCCACGGTTTATATGGGGCAACAAGCACATTCGAAACTCAACAAGAAACGCAACCGTTTGACAGTTCGTGGGGAAGATCACCGGCCTTAGACGGCGACGACAGCTAGCTGTGGCAGTACATCCCCTGCTTGCCCCAATCAGAACACGGGGGGTGGTTTTGAGATAACTCCTCGTCACAGTAAGTATCGCACCCTATCGTTGTTTGATTTACGGGAAAATAATTGCGAGCAGGTTTGTCGGTCCGTAAACATCTCTCTTGCTCACCACTAGCTAAAAACGAAAGAAATTCTGAACAGGAACAGCTGGCCACCACTTGTACCATGGTTGTCACTTGCGCTACTGCGGCAATTGCTGTGGCAGGCCTTCCGGCTAACATGGCGTAAGCGCTTGTGTTCTCTCCTCGGTCGGATAGACTCGATAAAGCCTCGCTTCTTGAAGCACCGCGCTCAAGGCTTACTAAAAAAACCAGCGGTCAGTATTCACTCTAAACTCATCGGTACACCTTCAACATAGCGATGACACAGCGAACGCAGTATCGCAGCTATGCATAGTGTTGACGTTGTTCGTGTCCGCCACGTTCGCTGCCGTGAACGCTCGGGTTAGCGCTGTATTTTCTGTTGCCGACATTTCCACCACAGCCACACCACCACCATCATCCCTACCCCTGACGCCATCGTTCCTTGCCGTCACCACCACCGCCATCCCTGGTAACCGGAAGCGACCTCAATTTCATTAATAACCTTGGAGTTCCCTTGCTACAAGCTGTCTGGCCTAGTGCTACCATTGCTACTTGCAAGCTCAGGTGGGGCGTCTGCCGTCGCCGCCGCCGTGCCGCCTCGCTGAAGAGCCACCGAGAACACAAACTCGCGCAAGGTGGCGAGGCGAGCTGTCACCAGGGTCTTTAGGAAATAAATTTGACGCCGCAACGTACACCCGCCGAACAGAGGTCCACAAGGCACCATTAGTCGGAGTCAGATAGACGCAGAAAGTTACACGAGCTTGATGTATCACCGACACACAGTCTAATGTGTGGTACAGCAAGCAACGGAGGGGTCGTAGTCATTCTTGTTTCAGGAGGGATAATGGCGTTACATCGTCGACAGAGGGGGTGGGGGTGGGGGGTAGTCGTCATGTTGTTTGAGGATTGATGGCGGCATACATCGTCGGCGATTGTTGCAATACACGGGAGGGGGCACTCGTTATGAATGTAGAAATTCCCATGGGCACTCGCATCATGTTTAGATCTGACTGACCTACGTCTGGTACTTCACAGGCAAGTTATGGGGTATAGGGGGTGGAGGGCGACATAAAGACGAAAAAATGACCGAGAAAATGGGCTGGAGCCTGTGCCTGCGGTACACCTGTCCGTCTACCCTCCTTTCAGCGTCCAACGTTGATGTGAATGTCAGGATCAGCGTTGATTAGAGTCCTCTCTCTCTCTCTCTCTCTCTCTCTCTCTCTCTCTCTCTCTCTCTCTCTCTCTCTCTCTCTCTCTCTCTCTCTCTCTCTCTCTCTCTCTCTCTTCTTCTTCTTCTTCTTCTTCTTCTTCTTCTTCTTCTTCTTCTCTCTACCCTTCTCCTCCCCGGTCGGCGTACGCTCGGGGGTTTCTAAGCATTTCGTTGTACACACCATCTACCCCTCCATGATGGAACGAAACAGCACTTACCAATCTTCCCAAATCACAGACCACACAAAATGGATCCAGTCAGACCAGTTGAAACGGAGCTGCTGTCAGGGAGGGAAGCAACTACTGCAATCATTGGGTCGAGCCCACTTGAACGAACTACAGCGTGGATGGCACGTGCGATTACACCAAGTCCTACGGTAGACTAGACTAGCAGCATCTTACCTGGTTTTTCTTGAATTCAGTCCAGCCGAGCATCCCGCTGCCGGTCACGTCCATAACCTGTACCGTCAAAATGCGGATCAAGCGTGTCGTTATCACCATGGTTGTGTTAAGGATCCCCGCAATCACTGGTCTACGAAGGAAAACCAGTGCAATACTATGTCTGGTTGAACCGTACGTTCAACAGGCGACTTGCTTCAGAAGGATGCCAAGCTACCGAAGGCCCGCTTATGTTTTGCGACCTCGCTACTCACGGCTACAAGGTCTCGGGCAACGTCCTTGACGAGGGTTTCCACCACCGGTTCGATGTCCGGCCTCAAGGAGCAGTTATCGGGAGCCTCGGCTATCGCCTCACTTACGGAGTCTCGCACCTGTATCCACAACAAAAGAGCAACGCGAAACGATATGCCACAACAACAAAAATATATAGCAGCACACTGAACCACGCAGCACCCCAATGGACCACCTGTGCGTGGTTTTGGCGTCAATTTCCCTACCCTCCGCTTGTCACCAGGGGTGCCGTAATGGCCACACACCCTCCTACGGTGGATAACCCCAGTGGTACATTCTGGAACCCTCCACGAGTTCTCGCTATCTTCATATGACTGAATCCGCGGTTTGAAAGTCAAACTACAAAATCACCCTCCCACTTGTGGACTCGGGGGATATTGGTGATCTCGTAGCGACGCTTGATCGCCTCTCGTTCAAGACTATGTCGCCACTGACCGGAGATCGTAGCGCAAGTATAGGAGAGCGACGACCAATAAATGTTCAGGAAACATGCACCAAACAAACTGTCCGTGCGACACAAATAATGCAAAATCACGTGCATACCATCATGGTCATCTCAGTGGCGGTGATGCTGCCACTGTGATCGTCATCATAACGGCGGAACACCTTCAGGAGTCCACCGTCATACCCGACATTCCCTGAAGGCAGTGGCGAAAACATAGCCCAATCAGTGCGTCAAGGAAGAAAGGGAGATATTACAAAAAAAGTTGCTCGCAAAGTACCGTTCTCGACAACGTCATGGTCGCGGGGTGATGGTTATTTCGCCTGCTAGAACATGACCAATGCCATTTCCTGGCAGCCAGGCCACGATTGTAAGCACGGTCGAGCTCTGCATAACTACGCTTCTATCGTGCGTAAAGTTGCAAACAGGACCATACGTTTATCACCGGGGGAGAGCGTGAAATACTGGGCGATGTCTTCTGGAAACCTTCCACCAAAAAACGCCGCGTTTCAGGCCTCATCCCCAAACCCTTGCCTCCCCAGATCAGGATCGCTCGCATCGCAAATGTTGGAAGCAGTGGGGTACTTTGGTAATGCCTGCACTGATCATCGTGTCGATGGCGTGTGCTTGCCTGTTCCCTCGTCCAGCACGGCTGTGAAGCGCATCCATTCTATGCGATTGATCACACCGTCTTGGCTCTCGTCGATGCCGTTCGCCGTTTTCTTCAGGTCAGTGACAACGGATGGAAACAAGAGGAAAAAACAACGAACGAAAGCATGGGCAGCCAGGGGTTCGGGGGGGGGGGGGCACACGCTTGTGTGGTGCTGTGGTAGCTCATCTCGACGTGTGCCCACTGACTTCACCGACCTTGCCAAGGACAGTTCCACTCCCACGGGTGTTTTCCCCCGTGGGAGTGTATTTCACGTTGTTGATGAGGACGAGGAGGATCGGTCGTGCTCTATTTACTGTTAGTCTCAAGTCAAGGCCTTTGAAGTGTTACCACAAACCCCTTCTGAGACCGAGAATGGAAAGGTGACGCACCGCGGTTCAACGCACGCGCGCTGCTGCAAAGACATAGTTGGTCGTGAAGCGAAAAGGGAACCAGCTTCGTCCACCAAACAAAAGCAACGCTGTAATTTACAGGATGTTTTCGGTCCACAACATGAAGGTCTGACAGCGCCAACACGAACATCTGGCAGCAGGCATAAACGAGAAAGTGCGTGAAAAAGTGTTATGCTGTCTTAGTCTCCAGGGACTCCTAGAACCAAAGCACCAACACTGCCGTCCTACAACGACGAAAAGAGTAAGTATCGGTGCTATCCGTTTGTTTCTTTCGTTCGGACCGTACCGTATTGAATGTATAACCCGCAGGACCAGTCACCCCTTTACCACCATCGAGTGGCCCGGGCGCTCGACTAGATTCAAAACAGGCTCTGGTAGCCGTAAACGTGTTCTCAACGCCCACGCCCCGCAATACCGGTAAAAAAACAGTCAACTCTATATCTGGTACTTCTCGCATCGCATCGTTTCACGTTCATACCTCGTGGTTGTCCTACACCACCCAAGTTGCTACCGCTTTGAAGTGCCCAAACAGCAATGTCTGTCAACCTCTACAGAGAATCGACCGCATCGCATGGGTGTACCTGAACAGTAGCTTCCGGCGGCTCTTCCCCCCCCGTCCCTCCACCGAGCCACAGCAACGCCTGTCATGATAAATTGGGCAGGAAACACATATCACACATTAAACACCAACCGACGCCTTCTAGGACCTGAAACAATACACTACTGCTGTGTACACGGAGTATGCAAAGCCAGCGCCTAGCCTGTCCCTGTCGCCTTACGTAAAAAAATACATGTAGAGAAGAGCTAGCTCCATGCTTGAAGCGATCCCGTCGTTGAGACCCCGAAACTTAGTACACCGCTTAAGCGATCCGGTCGTTGAGATCTCTTGCAACTCTTCTTCCATCCGCGCAATCCAAACGCTAAGTGGGATAACCGCAACGTATTCTCTCCTGCCAAAAGAAGTAGTGAAACTAGACACTTCCATGTGCACTGCAAGCAGTGTCGTGTTGCAAGAATAACGCTGGCCGGGTGTCGTCCCACTCTACCGTGTATGTACCTTCAAGTCCCCCATGCTGACGCTCCCAACGCCGTCCTCGTCGACCACGCTGAACGCCACCCAAAACCTCAGGAGCTCTTCCAGGGCTTCCACATCGACGCGTTCTCTCTATCATTGTTGTTGGTTATTTCCATGTTTGTTGTTGGATGGTTGTTGTTTGTTGTATATTGCTTGTAGTTGTACAAAGTCGAGTCCTCGAGTTTTCGTTCACAAACGGCAGAAGTAAATAGGGCACAAGAAACGACGAGCACAAGATGAAAAAATGTCACGAGCCCATGAGAGACTGCCTCTCTTTGTGCATGATGTTGTTGAACTAGTTAGTTCCCTTTTGCTACTCTCGTTATTGTTACGACCAAGATGAGGACGACGAAAGCGGGAAACGGAAAGATGCAAGGATCACAACAACAACCACCGTCATCCCGAACAGTCACCCCAAAGAACGCAAGAACGACAACGACAACGGCGATGTCACGCTTGCAACTTACCCGTCCCCCTGTAGCCCCAGAATTCCCCGAAAGCATTCGAACGACCGCCGCCGCATCCGCTTCGACAACTGCCTCTAACCCCGCCCTCAGGCACTCCGTTTTACCCAACGTAGTTAAAGACCGAAGTATCTCTCCCGCCCTTGCCCCGTCCACCGTGCCGTCTTTATGCTCCCCTGGTGAGTCGTCCTGGTGTTACCGGTAGTGAAGCGGAGAAAGTGAGCGGGGGAGGAGGGGGGGATACGGATGCGTTGATTGTCTAGATCGTCTGACCAACCATGATATCTCTTCGAACGTTGAACAACGTCCCTACCTTCTAAAGACACCGCCAAAACTCGAGCGTTCTTTGAGTTTCTGGCCTAGTACACACAGAAATTCTTGCTCGTCTTGTTCCCGTCATTAGCATGTCATGGCCAGTTTTTTTTTTCTGACACAAGGGGTGAGTTTACAATGCTCTCTGAAGAATCAAAGTGGAGCAAGACACGTCCGTCCGTATGCCTCGTATCCTTCTCAAAGGCGTTCTTGACAAAAAAAATCCTTTAGGGTGCGCTTGGTAGAGAGGGGAGAGGCGGGAAACGGCCTCCACTCTTGATCACTCCGCTCAACGTGTGATATTTGAAAACTCTTGCAGTTCTTCACACGGTGAATTTTACCTGAGGAGAGGGGTGCTTGCACGTGCTCATTCCGAGGGCGACGCTCCTGTCAACCAGCTGCAGGGGCACCGGCGTACCCCGTGGAGGTCGGGTTGATTTGCGGTCAGTAGGCGACGCAGCGACAACGACGAAAGAGAGAGGAATAATATATTGGTTCACGGGGTGGAGTAAGCGCCTCTTTGCATTTCGTGTGCGGAGGAGACCCTACTGACAAAAAAAAAAGGGGCTGGTCGACATCTGTGTTGGCGTATTTTGTTATCCATGGTCCAGATGAGGAGGCACAACCCGCAGTCTTGATCGCGATACTTTCAGCACTATAAGTATGCACCGTGAGTTTTTCCTTGGCCGTTCCAGCCACTAGGATGGGGCACATACTTCACGCGCAGGTGACATTGTAGTTCGGTAAAATGGAATCCTCTACTTTGCAGACAAACCGTATATTGTACGATCGCTGGACGGTATCTACTCGCCCACCCTAACAGAGTTCGTGCAGAACGGAAGGAATTACCAACGCTGTGAAGAGCGCCTCAGACCGTATTGTATCCCTGGCAAATCTCTCTCTCTTTCTTCTCTCGCTCTCCCTCTGTCCTCTGTCCTCTTTTCTCTGCAGTCTGCCCCCTGTCCCCTGCCTCTGCCTCTGCCCCTGCTTCTCTGTTGTTTTCTTTGAGGTTCAGAAATTTTCTACGCTTGAAAACTTTGTGCTCCTCGTCTTCCGTACTCGGAAATATATGTTGAACATTGGTACGCCCGTCTCTTGTCCAGTAGTCTCGGTCCAATGTGCAAACACGGGAGCCTGCACACTTGTGTCGGTAGTCTGTGACCACCCAAGTCGCCTCTTCGCGTTAGGTCAGGATACAAAAGACGGAGGTGAACCGTCGAGGTCAAAATGGGGTTCAAAGCGAAGGAAACACCGCTAACTTCAACGAGAATTCAGTTCTTCTTGCCCGATACGGTTTACACGGTAGCGTGTGAAGTGATCAGACCAATTTGGTACACGTATTCCAAGCTTTGGCACCGGTTACAAACGGCACCGAATTTGTCTACAAACAGGCTGACCAACCTCTTGGCTGGATATGATCATCCTGGCCTCGATGAAGTTGGAAAGGAAGACCGCCACGTCTTCGCGCTCCGAGATCCAATCCTTCAGGTCCCGCAGCGTCAGCTCTCCCGCGGCCGCGCCCCTGTCGAGCGCGTACACGCCGGCGGGTAGGGAGGGGCATCAAGTACCTACAACTTTCTTCTAGCCAACGACACCGAAACATACCCAAGGAGGGAAGCTGACCACCGTAGGCACATCACCCTACCACCACCGTCACGCCCCTCTGGACTCTGCTTGGAACAAAATCGAGCCAATCTTGATCAGCGTTTTTGCATTCTACCGCATGCGGTCCATGAGAACCTTCCTGCCGAGTGTGACTACTTTGGTCCCCTCAATGCGTAGTACAAGCGACAATCTCGACCGGCGTGCCATTGTTCCGCCGCACGAGAAAGGAGCAGCAGCACCTTTGCGATTTACTCAATTTTTTCTCTGTCCGTGTATCGCATCGTGCGTCCTTGATATGTGCCACGAAGAACAATACCGCGGCGTGTGGCAGAGGTCTTCGATCTGTGAGTAATAAATGAAGGATTTGCTGTGCGTCAAGAGTCCTAAGAGCGTTCTCCGCGAGAGAACAATGAACCTTGATGTGTGTGTGGGGGGGGGGGGCGGGAGGGGGGAGAAACCTGTTCGTTGAAATGAAAATAAGAGGCTGGGGGTGAGGCTTC